ACGTCGATGTCGATATCGACAGAAATCCTTCCGCTTTCGTTTCTCATGCAGCCCAAAAGAAAGGGCACATATCCTCGAGTGAAGAGTGTGCGACCTCGTTTTTTGGATACTGCGATGCGTTTTTTAAATACCATCTCTCTCTCATTCTCTCTCCTTCTCTCTCCTTCTCTCTCGACGGCGACGTGAACGAGAAAGAAGGTCCAATGGTACGAATCTTTCTCGCGCACTACACGCGATTCCGTAAATTCGTACGCCGTTTTTTCCACAGGGTCTCCATGTTTCCTCCGTTAGTGACATGTAACAACGAAAACTCGCAAAACTGCGAGAAGGGAAAAGAAAAACTGGCAAAGAGAATAGAGACGCCAGAGATAAAACAAAGTGAGAGAGAAGAACTTTTTCTTCCGTTCGACGATAACTTTTCGAAAATGACCAATGACGTCGCGATGACGATGACGCTGTGCAGTAAAACAATAATGGGAACATCGATACGAATTCAGATCAGTCTCGTGATCGGTTCACGTGAAATTGTGATAACTGCGATCGGTGCGACGACCGCCATGTAAAATGGCCGAGACAATAGAGGACACGATGGTCACCTTGTCGGGAAAATCGGGGGAAAAAAAGGATAATCGCAAGATTCGTTTCGATTCCATCGGGCAGAGAACGTTTCGCGAACGTCGACGCGATCCCGTTATTCTCGCGCAAGTCGTCGCTTTCACACCCTCCGATGTCTCGTTCGGGTGCGTCGGGTGCGTCTCGAAAATCACCGGACCTCGGCAAAATTGTAGAGCCCTCATCAAGAGCGTGTTCCTGTGTTCCAAGGGAATCCCATCACTGCCTCTCGTTGCAGACCGCTGCATGACATAATTTTTTTCCGCGCTATCGTCACCTTTCACTCGGCGAGCTCTCTCGACCATAGCAGGGCTCTCCCGTATTATTCGGTTCTATTTGCCAACGCGAAACCTTTCGCGATCTTCCCACCTGCGAGCGTCGCTCGGTCGTTTGGTCGTTTCACGAGTGCACGGCTTCGTCATTCGTTCATCGCACGTCGTTGGTTTATGCCACCATTAGAAACGATTTACGCCACCATCTTGTTTCCGCATATAAAGAGGAAAAACTCCAATGACGCCGGAAATCACTGACTTTTCTTCCTGAAAGCGTAGGCGGAGCGAATGTTGGGACAGATTCGCGAAGAATGTT